TCACACAGAACATCTGCCCAGCCTGCATGAGGTCCTACTTCATCCCAGCCCTGTAAAACTCAACAGAGCAGCAAAAGCAAACAGAAATACAGGTGATAGGAAGCCACAGCCATTTGGGACAAACTCCTGCAACAGGCTCCAGGAAATCAGGAAAGCACCAAAATGGGGACACTCAGCTAATGTTCCACATCACCGAGCTAAAGCTGTTTGTTATCCAACCTTCCTGGTATCAGGAGGGGAGATGTCCATGTCTGTCTCAAGGGAGCTAGCTCCTAGCACAGGGAAAGGGGTGGCCTCCCGCATGGCCGCTGGCTTTCCCAGAGTAACCTCAGAAGGGCTGACTGCTCTTTGCCCTGCTTCTTTTCTTCTGTGGCACTGAAGATTGAACTCAAGGTCTTCCACAAAGCTACATTCTCTGGTGGTTTTGTTTTTGTATCCAGAATTGAACATAGGACCTTGTACTTGCCAGGCAGGTACTATACTGCTAACTATATCCCTGGTCTAGCAGGTATTTTAACCTCTTCTTTTTTTAAATTTTAAAGAGAGGGGGCTGGAGGTTTAACTCAGCGGTCATGAGTTTGATCCCTGGTACTGATAAAAAACGAAAAAGACAAAAAAAATTTTAAAAAGAAAGAAAAATACAGTAAGAATAAAACAGAATTCCAGAGCAGCTTAATAGGAGAGTTACAATAATTAATAGATTGCATATGATTGTCTTCGTAGTAGTTATTCAGAGTACAAGATTTATAGGCATGATGTTGTACTCCACTCAAAAAACAAGGCCCCATGATGAAAAACGGGGCAAGACATCTTTTTTTTTTTTTTTTTTTTTTTTTTGTCTTTTTCATTTTTTATCGGTACCGGGGATCAAACTCACGACCGCCTGCTTGCAAGGCAGGTGCTTATGCCACTGGGCTAAATCCCCAGCCCCAAGACATCTTTTTAAAAGAAGTGCTGTAAAAAAAAAAAAAAAAAAGAAGCACTTTTATTTTAGCTGGCCCAGCGACACAGTACAGATGGAATTTGCAAAGCTGTGCAACTGAGTTAGAGTTTTGACTGATTTTTATAGTTCATTTATGATTAGCTCATTGATCATAAGTACATAGTGATGAGAAACAGAAATAAGGTGGGCCTTTGTTCCCCTTTGCTTGAGGTCAGAGGCATCTCACAGTGGGTGGTTAGCCAATTCATAGCCCTTGGTCTGCCAATTCCAGGAACATTTGTCTCTCATAAAGGGAACAATGGTTGACACAACATCATTTGTCTCGTACAAGGGGAACAAAAGTTGACATAGCACACAGATCACTAAGGTGGGGGGGATGACGCATTACAGAACAGCAAAATGACGTGGTCAGTTAATTTATAACTGTGTGATTGGTGCTTGGTTACTAGGATAATGAGCTCAGTTCAGAATAACAGAATTACTAATAACTATCTTTTTAAATAACTATTTTTGTTAATTATCTTTTAATCAATGATTTTAATTTTTAGCATCTTAGTATAACACATGATATCTTGCACAAAAAAATATTAGCACAAACCTTTTTAATGAACTAAGAGAAACCAGCTGTATAGCTATCCTATCTTGGTGTATAAATATATTTTTTCTTTCCCTTTCTTCCTATTTTTTGGTGTATATTTTGAGGGAGAATCTCCCTAAGATGCTAAATTGCCCAGGCTGGGTTAGAATTTGTGATCCTCCAGTCTCAGGCTCCCAGTGCTGACTTTGCAGGCTTGTGTCATGACACTCACTTCGTGGACCTGTCTCTGCTCTCGCCAGTCCTGTTCTATCCACAAAGCTGATCCTTCTGTCCTGCCTACCAGCACACGCATCCTGGCCCAGCAAATGAAGCATTGCCCAGTTCTGGTACTGATAAAAAAGCTGATTTTCTTCTTTCATTGCTGTTGTCTTCTGACACCTCTAAAACTTCCTTCCAAGCTGGCTCTGGAACTGCTGTGCTCAAACCACCACAGGGACAAAGGACAAACTCCCCTGGCCTGTCTCTTATTCATTAAAAACATAAATTTTTCCCCTGAGATGGGACTTAAAAATGCTTGTTACAGAACCCGTGGCTCTTCACTGGGCCTATGGGTGCTCAATAGGTGACTGAAACTAGAATGAGCTGACCTGCTTCTCTAAAGGCTTTGTCACCTTAAAATTTGGGCGTACGTATGTCGTTTAGAAAAGTCAGCAAAACAAGGCTTGTTAGCCTTTATTTTATGGAGCCTATCTCACCTGCTTCAAGACCCGGCATGCCAAGATAAAAGTAACTAAAGTTCTTTTCAAGGACACTCGCTGGCCAGCTTTCATGGGTCAGTTCCAGATGTACTGGGCAACACCTCGAAGTCTCCAGCCTTTGTCTTTTTTTTTTTCCTTCAGTACTTGGGATGGAACCGAGGGTCTTCACATTGAACTATATCTGCAGCATTTTACATTTTTAAAATTCTGAAACAGGGTTGTGCTAAGTTACTAAATTGCCCTGACTGGACTCAAACTTGAGATCCTCTTGCTTCAGCTTCAGTTCTGGGATTACAGGTGTGATCACTGCACCTGGCTCTGGTTGCTGTTTTAAATCTCAGGTCCCAGGATAGGGACTCTAGACTGCTGCTGTCATTTTACTCCCCCGTACCACTAATCCAGGACTCACACTGGTGACAAGGTCTAGGGTGCCTCTGAGGCTCTGCTGGCTTTAGCAGCATGTGTGGTCAGACCTAAGGTCAGAGACAAGTGGGACTTGTCCATGGCTCTACCAGATAACACCCCGACATAGTAACTCAGCTGGCAGGCCCTGCTCTTCAGGAAGTCCAAGGCCTTCTTGTCCAACTTAAATTAGTTGAGCCAGGTGTGGTGGTCTGAGCTTGAATCCCAGCACTATGGGAGGCTGAAGCAAAAAGACTGCAAATTCAAGCTCAGCCTGGACAATTTAGTGACTTACAGAGACCCTGTCTCAAAATACAAGCGCTGTGTGTGGTGGTACTCGTATTTCCACACTTGGGAAGCCGGGGCTGAGGGAAACGGGAATCTTGTCAAGATAGAGGCCAGCCTGGGCTACACAGCGAGATCCAGTCTCAAAACACCAAAAAAAAAAAAGCAGAAGAGCAGAAGCAGCATAGGGGCACTCAGTGCAGAGAAGACGCAGGGTTAGCAGGGGCAGCATCACTAAGGTCCCAGTGTTACTAGGTTTGGGATGCCAGAATCTCTTTCTAGAAGTAGGTACCAGGTTCTTTCTGTCTTGAGCAAAGAAATGGTACCAACGATAGCAAGGTTTATTAAAGATGGGAAAAGAAACAGGCTGCAGAGAGCATTTGGGCCAACAAAAGGCTGGTGAATGAGCACAGACAGCCCTTACTTAATGACCTGTTTAATGACTGAACTTACAACCTGTTGTGTAGATTTACCACTTACTGCTCAGACTTAGGAGGAATTTTTCGTTTGTGTTTGTTTGCTTTTGTCTTTTTGAGACAAAAAGTGTTTCATTATGTAGTGCAGGTTGGCTTTGAACTCACTTTGTGGTCCATCTGGCCTCAAATGTGCAGCAATCCTCCTGCCTCAGCCTCCAGAGTGCTGGGATTACAGGTATGCACCACCACATCTGTACATTTTATTATAGAGCTTCAGTGTCTTCTTTTTCCATACAGTACACTTTGTTCACACAGTACTGTAATTTTATTGATTGTGCCATATGGTACATTACTGTAGTTCTGTGTTCTGGTATACATTACAGTAAGGCATAGAAGAATTCTGCAAATAAAAGCAACATCATCTCGTTTGAGTTTCCTTTGACCATTTCCTTGTTCTCAATACTGTGGCGCAAGCACAGAGCTCAGGCATCAAGAGAGGAAGGTTATCACACAAGGACGGGGACCTCTGTGTGGGGAACAGGACTCACGGCAGGGCGCTAGTCCGCCACTGTCCTGTCTGCATCCCTCTCTCCGGGTTGAGGGCAGGTGGAGGCCACCCATGGAGAACACGCACAGTTCTCAGAAGTGCATGTGCAGGGTTTTGGGATCTGCTCTGTGCAGGTCAGCCTGCTTCCTGGCCAGCTTTGGTGCTCCTTGTCTCCTTCCACTCCGGAAGTTTGGAGGGGTGTGGAGCTGGGAACTGGCAGGAGGGGTGTTTTTGACCACAGAAAGTTTTTAAAGGAGGGGTCACCTGGGGTGGGAGCCTATGAGTGGGAGTCAAAGCCACAATACGAGAAATGCTGGACTTGGCCAGGGTCAGGTACTTTTGGGTTTGTGGTTGCCTCAAGGCCTTGGGGGCAGGGTGACCTTCAGCTACTGATGCTGGATATTTTGACACAGCTGGCCTTGCTCTGTCTAGTTTCTCAACTCTTGCTTCTTGTTTCTCTGTCCTTGCTGGGCCATCTTCCTCTGCCCCACACACCCTGCAGGTTCAGGCCTTGCTGCTGTGTGAGGTCTTCCCCCATCCTGGTCGTTTTTCTGTGTCTGTCATTTTGCATTGTCCTGAGACAAAATCTCACTCTGTAGTTCAGGTTGACCTTGAACTCACTGTGTAGCCCCGGCTGGCCTCGAACTCCTGGCGATTCCCCTGGCACAGCCTCTGGAGAGCTGAGCTAACACCAGACTCACAGACACACAAGGGTGGACGTTGAACGGGTGTCGTTTCTGAGTTGTTTTTGCCTGTTTACTCGGGATATGAGTATGTTAGAGTGACCGCAACCCCAGGGAGACCGCACACACAACTCGGTGGCCTGAAGGGGCCAAGAAGAAACTTATGACACATTCCCAGGGGTGCTGCTGCGTTCCTGAGCATGCGGCGCGCACGGCTGTCAGTCTGACTGGATGAGACCCCGAGATGCTGGCTGGGTCACAAGGCGCTGCTTTCACCCTTGAGGGTGGTGGTGGCAGGACTTGCCGTAGGACGCAGCCCATTTGGAGGCGGGGCCGTGACCTCTGCCAGCACCCGCCAGACTCCGCTGCCCCAACCCCGGAGCTGGGGGCAGGGACTGTCTCCAGGGGAGTGTCCTGTCTCGAGGCGGGCGTGTCTCCGGGGCAGAGTTTTGTCTCCCGGCGCTTCGATTGGCCCGGCCGCGCGGGGGATTCTGGGTTCGGCGTTCCTGTTGTCTACGCGCGCGTTTCGCCATGTTGGGCTCCCCGGTGAAGCGGCAGAGAATGGAATCAGCGCTGGACCAGCTCAAGCAGTTCACCATAGTTGTGGCCGACACGGGCGACTTCCACGGTGAGGGGTCGCGGAGCGAGCCCAATGGCGCGTGAGCCCTCCCCGTCCGGGAGTGCCCCAGTTCCGGGTTGCAATCTGGAGGCGGTCCCAGAGGTGATACCCGGAGGACGCTGGAGCTGAGGCTGGAGCCCGGGCCTAGCTCGGCCAGAGTCGCCTGCGGGCGGTGGGAGAGGTCGGGGAAGGGCGCCACCCGGGTCCACCTCTCCGGGGCGCGCGGGCTGGACTGGCGGTGCTCCGAGCCTCCTGGGGAGGTCTGTCGCGCCGGCTGCCTGGCTGAGTTGTAGACAGGCGTCTGAGGGCCGGGGCGGATTTGCAGCTACAGGGTAGGGCAGTCGTGCGGAAATTCGCGCTGACTTCAGGTTCCTTTTAGCCTGTTGCATGTGCCTCTGTGTGGACAGTTGCTGACCGCCTGCGGCAGGTGCCAGGCCTGGCCCCACAAACTCCGTGTGGGTGCGTCAGACTCTAGGCGGAGCAAAAGATTATCTGTTAGGATTCAGATTTTCCTAGGCTAGTAGAAATCTTGGCAGACAGAAGTGTAAAGAAAGGGGCTGGCGATTTAGCTCGGCGGCATAAGCACCTGCCTTGCAAGCAGGCAGTCGTGAGTTTGATTCCCGGTACCGATAAAAAAGAAAAAGACAAAAAAAAAAAAGTGTAAAGAAGGATTGCACTGCTAGTCCGGAGCGCCCTGACCTGCGGTGCAATAAGACTTTCAGGAAAACCGCGAAATAGCTGCAAATGTGAGTACTCAGTACAAAAGCGCATCCTCTTTTCTGCTTTCTCACGGTGACTTGAGAAACAGGCTTTAATTCCTCTTGGTAACTGAATAAGCACATTGTTTATCTAGCACAGCCGTGGGGCGTGATTAGGCATATTTGACTACCCTATATAAAAGATGGAGTTAGTGCTTGGCTCTAGGTCTAGCAGTGTATACCAGGCCTGTGTGGTGTACAAGCCCTAGAGGGCTTCAGAAACTGCTGACCGGGAACAATGAGGTGCTTCTGGCCTGCTGGAGTGGCCTGTGTCTCTTAGTAAGAAGGAAGTGCGCAGAGCTGCACCTGGCTCTACTCCTCAACTCTTTGCCCTCAAGGTGCAGTGTTTGCTTAGCAGCCCGAGCGTTGTCTACATTTTGAGCCTGGCTAGCTTACCCTCAGGCCGACCAAAACACTTGTTAAGCCTCCTGGCAGTGCAGGACCCCCCCCCCCCCCCCGAATCCATTTTCCAAGGCAGGACCTGGAATGTTGTTATTGAAAGGGCTCTAAACTGAGAGCCTGCTTTCTAAAATGAATACTAACAATTTTGTTGAAAATATATTTATAGCCAGGCTTGCATGTTGTAAGCCCAGCACTCAGGAGGCAAGTGCTATGACTGGTTTAGGTGCTTTATTCTGTGGGTCATAGGCCCCTAAAAATAAAATCAAAACTCTTTGATCCTCAAAACAAAAAGAAAACAAAAAAAAACCTCTTTGGTTCTGTTCCCAGAACAACTTGCTCCCCTCATTTTGCATGAAATCTGAGTCTCCCTGACCCTGAAATGTGTCTGTTGGCCCTCATGGGTTTTGGTTTCTTATTTTTCTTTTTTCCTTTCCAGGCAGTGCTGGAGAGGCAACCTGGGGGAAGAATACATGAGCTCCACCCATCCCTAGGCTTTTGGTTTTGTTTTCAGTTGTGGGTTTTGTTTTCAGTTTGTTGAAAGCTGACTTTAGGGGCTGGGGATTTAGTTCAGCGGCATAAGCACCTGCCTTACAAGCAGGCGGTCGTGAGTTCGATCCCAAGTACCAATTTAAAAAAAAAAAAAAAAAAAAAAAGCTGACTTTATCCAGGTGTCGTTTTATACAAGCAAACACTGTTTTGAGCAGATCACCACCTAGCACACTTTCTCTTCACTTGTTATTTGGAAACACCGTAGTTACAGACCCAAAGAAGTTGCAAAATGAGCTCATGAACCCTTTGCCCATTTTTCCCAGAGATGGCCACACAAGAAGCTGGCACTGGCATGAGCTGTGCCACATGCAGACTGGCTCAGTGCTCTGTTTCTGGCCTGCACTAGGGGTGCGCCTGCAGCTGTTTCTAACTTGGATTTGTGTGTCAGCAACAGCGGGGACGTAAGAGTTGTGGAGATCTCCTGTGCCCCTGAGGCTGCCATGCCCTCTAGCACCATAGTTTTATTACTAAAGAATACTTTGGAAATTGGGAAATACTAATCTGCTGAGCTGGGCGTGGTCATGCACTGCCTGCAATCCCAGCACTCTGGGAGACTGAGGCAGGAGGAGGAACTCAATATAAGCAATTTAGCCACTTTGCACTGAATAAAAAGGACTGGGGATGTAGCTCAGTGGGAAGGTGCTAGATTCAATATTCAGTACCATTTTTAAAAAAAGACTATAATCTGTCAAATAATAAATTTATCTCCTGGCAAGACTGGACCTTTGTCTGCTCCTCCCAGCATACTCCATTGGGTTGATGGGTCAGTTAAACCCTAAGATTTGGATTCCTGGGAAAGGATAAATGTGTTAAAAGAGACACTTTAGCCCAGTGTGGGTGTATCATCCCAGCCTTCTGGGAGGCTGTGGCCAGAAGACACTAAATTCAAGCCCAACTTAGGTAACTTAGCAACTTAGTGAGACCCTGTCAAAAAAAACAGAGAGCTGTGGCTGTAGCTCAGTGTGAAATCCCTGGGTTCAGTTCTCAGTAACTGAGTACAGTGTAGTGTTTGTTGCCACCAGCCACCTGTATTGTTGTCACTCGTTTTGGGCCAGCACCACCTAGTGGCCCCTGAGCCACCACACGTTTTTTTTGGTGACCGCCCTGTCACTCTGCCTTGTCCTGGGGAGTGCTTGGGGCCCTGCTGAGTTTGGGTGGAAGCAAATGCCCTACTTATGTTCCTGCTTTCAAAATTCTTTCCCTAGCCATCGATGAGTACAAACCCCAGGATGCCACCACCAACCCATCTCTGATCCTGGCTGCAGCCCAGATGCCAGCCTACCAAGGGCTGGTGGAAGAGGCGATCACTTATGGGAAGAAGCTAGGCGGGTAAGTGTGGCTGCGGCCAGCAAGCTTCACTGGTCTCCTCGGCCTGTTGCCCTCCCTACCCAATCCTGTCCTTTTCATTTGTGGTACTAGGGGTTAAAGCCAAACTGTTCCTTAGCACTTTTTTGAGTTAAGATCTTACTGTATAGTCCAAGCTGACTTTGAACTTGTAAACCTCCTGCCTCAGCCTCCTCAGTGCTGGGATTTTAGGTTTATCCCTTCACATGAGCCCCACCATTTTCTGTTATTCTTTTGGATCTATGGGCCTGTACCACCATGCTTGGCTCTCACTGGAGTCAGGGTTTGTTTGGAGTCAGGGTCTCACAATGTAGTTCAGGCTGACCTCAGACTTATGGTGCGCCTCCTACCTTAGCCCCCCAAGTGCTGGGATTATGGGCATGCACCACCTCGCCTGGCCTCTCATTGGCTTATGAAGTGAGCTTTGCACAGATAGGCCACACTCATTGTGGCAGGGACTGCTGATGGCACCCCAAACTCCCTGTGGTCAGAATCCTGAACATTGTTCTACCTTCCTGCTGTCGTTTATTATGTTAACGGCAGGTCTGCTCAGTGCTGCTCCACCACCTGCCTAGTTGTGCCCAGTGGCTGGCTGCACTGGTTCTGCTGTCACCTGGGCAGCCACAGACACAGCTTCAGTTTCCTTTCTGGTGGTAACACATGGCTCAGGGCCACACCTGACCCAGCTGGCAGTGTGGCTCCTGAAAGGAGCAGGCCTTCCTAACACCTAGCCAGGCCTCCTGGACCACATGACAACTGCTCTGCACACGAGTCTCCCTCCCGCCCCTCCTTTGCTCCTTGTACCCCAGAACTGCTATGGGATGGCCTCAGGGAGGTTCTGCTCCCACATTTGCAGGACTGCATGTAGCACAGGACACTGGTGAAGTGTCACCTTGGGCAGTGGGCTGGTGGGAACCCTCAGACTATTCCCACTGGAATAGCACCTGCCCTGCATGTGGTGTCTGCCCTTCCAACCTGGGAGAGGGTGAAAAGATCACTCTACAAGGCAGGTTTTATTGAGTACAATTCACACGATAGGACTGAGGCTTTAGCTCAGCAGCACAAGCACCTGCCTGGCAAGTGCAAGGTTTGTATCCCTGGTACAAAAGGAAAAACAAAAAACATAATTTTTTGTTTTGTTTTTTGTCTTTTTCCTTTTTATCAGTACCGGGGATCGAACTCAGGACTGCCTGCTTGCAAGGCCGGTGCTTATGCCACTGAGCTAAATCCCCAGCCCCAAAAAACACAATTTACTCAATAGTGGTTTTGTCCATTTTCTGCACTGGGATTAGGGATGAATCCAAGGCATTTGCACTGAGCTACATTTCCAAAAAACATGCTTTTAATCATGAGACAGGGTCTCAGTAAATTGCCTAGGCTAAGCACAACCTTGGCACTTTCCTGCTTTAGCCTCCCAGCATGCTGGATTACCTTGTAGCATATGCTACCATGCTGGAATCCTACTGTTTGGTCAGCTCCATGGTGAAACCCTGTGTAATCTCACAAGCTCCTAACCTGCTTTTTCCCTGTGAATTTCAGGTCACAAGAGGACCAGATTAAAAATGCTATTGATAAACTTTTTGTGTTGTTTGGAGCAGAAATACTGAAGAAGATTCCAGGCCGTGTATCCACAGAAGTAGATGCAAGGTAAGAATGCCGGGGAAGATGGGCTATTGGGCCACCTCTCTCCAGTTTTTATCCCAGGGGACAGGAACAGAGAAGGAGGACAAGGTTTGCTTCTTGGGGTCCTCGTGTGGTCTGGCACTCCTGGTATTGGGGAACTCCGTGCTGAGGTCTCTCAATACAGTAAGCAGCCTCCACACTGCCAAGGGCTCTGCACCTTGTTGACTGCTCAGGCCAGAGCTCTGGGCACCATGTTTCTTGCTCGTGCCCACAGGGTGTGTGTGTGGTCTTTTTGCTTCACCAGGCTGTCCTTTGATAAGGATGCCATGGTGGCCCGAGCCAGGCGCCTCATTGAGCTCTACAAGGAGGCAGGAATTGGCAAGGACAGAATTCTCATCAAGCTGTCATCCACCTGGGAGGGAATCCAGGCTGGAAGGTAAGTGACCCTGCCTGTGGGAGGTTTTAGGCCAAGTCTGTGCTGGGCAGCACAGGCTCACCCAACAGTGTGCCTTCACCTTGCCAGGAAGCCTCACATCTCACATCTCACTTTGCCTAGTGGACAGAAAGCATGTTGGCCAGGCATGGTGGTGCATGCCTATAATTCCAGCATTCAGGAAGCTGAGGCAGGAGGATCACTGCAAATTGGAGGCCAGCCTGGACTGCATGGTGAAACCCTGTCTCAAAAACCAAAGGGAAAAAAAAAGCAGCAGCAAACCATGGTTATACAAACGTGCTTGACGTAGAAGAGGCAGGAAAGCTGAGTAACCAAGGGGAATTGCTGAGTTGCTCACCCACAGGGCTAACAGTCAGTGGGAGGCCTCTGAGGTTTGCTACTGCGTGCTCTTTGTGAATACACATTGGTTTTGAGTGCATTTGCTGGTCACACAGTTGGAGGAGGGCTGTGCAGGCTGGGACAGCTGCCTTTGGACTCCCAATGTGGCCAGCTGGTGGTCACCTCTGAAATGGGCTCCTGGAGAGCGAGTCTGCACCTCAGGACATCCTTTGTTGCTAGACGGTGGTCCAGGAAGGGTGGTAACCCTAGGCTGGAAGCCCAGCCCTATTCTGTGCCTTGGGGACAGACATGCGGGCCCTCGGCACTGGTACAGTGAGAGGCTGTGCGGTGGCGTGGACAGGTGGAGGGAGCGTCCTGATCACCCAGCCCTGCAGAGCATTCCGGGTTTCCCTACCACAGAGGGCCTGCACTGACCTCCTTGTCCCCACAGGGAACTGGAGGAACAGTATGGCATCCACTGCAACATGACGCTGCTCTTCTCCTTCGCCCAGGCCGTGGCCTGTGCTGAGGCGGGTGTGACACTCATCTCTCCCTTCGTGGGGCGCATCCTGGACTGGCACGTGGCAAACACAGACAAGAAATCATACGAGCCTTTGGAGGATCCTGGTAAGCAATCTCTTTAAGATCACAGGTGAGGACAGGGTTGGGGGCAAAAGGATGGAGTGGGACCTGAGGCCTCCTGGGACTCTCTGGTTTCCTCCAGGGGTCAAGAGTGTCACCAAAATCTACAACTACTACAAGAAGTTTGGTTACAAGACCATTGTCATGGGCGCCTCCTTCCGCAACACAGGCGAGATCAAGGCTTTGGCAGGTTGTGACTTCCTCACCATATCGCCTAAACTCCTGGGTGAGCTGCTTAAGGACAGCAGCAAGCTGACACCTGTGCTCTCAGCAAAGGCAGGTAAGGCCTAGGCTCAGCCATGGCCACTGCTGAGGCTGTGGACCCCTGGGTACAGGTGCAGCTCAGGGCATGGTTGAGACTTTGGGAGGGCTTGGTCCCCCTGTGCATTTCACTTGGGTCACTAACCATGGAGTCTTGAGGGGGCCAAGGGTTGATGAGTGATGTCAGGCCTCAGGGACCAGGGCAGGCACAGAGGTGTGGTGTCCCTCTAGCCCAGGCTAGTGACTTGGAGAAGATACACCTGGACGAGAAGTCTTTCCGCTGGCTGCACAATGAGGACCAGATGGCTGTAGAGAAATTGTCTGAGGGGATCCGCAAGTTTGCTGCTGATGCCGTGAAGCTGGAGCGGATGCTGACAGTGAGTTCCATGCAGGTGGTCTTAGGCCCAGGTTGGCCTGAGCCACCCGGCAGAGGGGAGCTTGATGTGGGTGCCTATATGGCAGGGGGCCTGGCTTAGCCACAGCCTCAGAGAGCCATTGAGGGCTAGACACAGCTCATCATGCTCTTTTCTAGGAAAAAATGTTCAGTGCAGAGAATGGGAAGTAGTGTGCATCAGAGCCTGTGGACCCCAGATCTGCCATCCTGCCTGTGACTAGAGTCCTGCTGTGCAAGGCTTTGTGGACTCTTTAGTTTTTTTGACCAATTGTACAGGGATGAATCATCAGTTTCTGATTTTATGTAAAACTGCCTAATGCATTAAAGCAGTTGCTTTTCCTGTGCTGGCTCATTTTGCTGTTTGTCACCCTCATGCCCTACTGTGCCCACTGTTTACTGGTATCTGGGCCAGGTGAGGAGGTGGGGATGGGGCAAACAGCCCCAAGGTTCCCAGTGAGAGTATCCCTGGCTACACTGGGAGCTGCTAAGCCCCAGGCCTTGGTATTGAAGGTGGGGCCCTGGCCCAGGGCATTTCTGGCATGGTCCCTATTCCTGGACTGTGCCATGTGCTGACAGATTCAAAGCTGCCATGGGGTGGGGTGGCACAGGCAAGTGTTGGGCTGTTGAGCCCCTGAGGGCACAGGTGTAGGTGCTCTTCAGCGTCTTAGTCTGCTGCCCTTGGCCAAGGCCAGCAGGGCAGGTTCCTGTGGGGAACACTAGTGGCATATGATAGTCACTATAGCTGGCTCTGAAACCAGGCAGACCCAGAACCTGGGAGGTGTACATGAGGCCCTGGGTAGCTCCCAGGGACACTGAGGCCAGGCAGCCAGAGGAGGGTATGGGGGTTGAGTCAGGTAAGCCTAGGCCTGGGAGAGTCTAGGAGTGGCTTCTGGCCAGGTCCAAACTACCCACAAGCTGCTATGCCCCAGGATCCTAGCTGTCTCCGCAGACTCACACCGCCCAGGGTACCATGGCATGTGGCAGGGAGTGGGTCTAAGGCCCAGCTAGACAGTAACAGCTCCCTACTTGATGTGCCACAGCCTGCTGGGGTGCCACTGATGCTGTTTTGAGTAGGTGTCAGAGAACTGGGCAGGGCCACAAGTAGGTCCCTCCTATTCCTCAGCAGCCTAGGGACAGGACCAGGTCACACACAGGCTTACAGATGTAACTCACAAATCTAAGTTCACCCACTCCTGTACTTGCAGTCCCAGTCCCTCAAGCCCATCACCCACACCCACCAGCAGTAGGCTCTTGATGACTGGCTTCACAGTAGCAAGATCCAGCCTTGGTAATTGTGTGTCAGCTTCCTTCCTGTTTGACACTAAAAATTCTGAGGATACAGGGATACACCTCATAGGGAAGCCAACCTGCCCTTTTTAATTGATACACGTGCTACAATTTTGGCGACACATGGGCTCTGCTTACAAACACAACCTAGGGGGGAAAAGCCTGCCAGCTCTACCTCTGCCGCTGCTGCGATGCTGGAGGCTCTGTCCCCTCCCCTTGGACGCTTAGCCTCTGGGGAGCAGCGCTGAAGCAACCCAAACAGAAGTGTTCAGCAGATGCCACACCATCCAAAATGCTGGCCTTGGGTTGCGTCTGTGTCCCCCAGAGCTCCCAACAGGATGGCGACCCTAGCACTGGAGGGTCTTCAGTCAGGCCAGAGGGGCTCCTATGAGTGGGATTAGGGCCTTTATCGGAATGGGCCCAGCACACACCCAACCCCACCACCATGAAGAACAGCCAGAAGCCAGGAAGCCCTCACAGGACAGCTCTGCTAGAACCGTGGAAATGCCCTGCACTGCTTTATGTGTTTGTACTTTCTGTTCCAGCTGTGTGGACAGAATAAGCCAGGACATAACTCAAGCTTCTGAAGTTTTGTCAAGGTGTGTATGTGACACACTGGGAGTGGACTGGGCAGCACAAGGCATACAGCAGCCCATCTTGGAAGGAAGCAGCCCCAAGTGGGGCTGCCTTGGTGTCTTCTTCCATTGGGTCCTGCAGAATCAAGGGCCTCCCACCCACATCTTCTGTCATGAGAGATACCCCGTGCCTGGGGACACGTGGCCAGCAGAACCAGTCAAGCTGGGAGTGCAGGATTGGGAGGGAAGGGAAGGCCCCAACTGGGTTGGGGGCTGGTGCTTCTGGGGAGCTTGACTCAGAGCCAGCAACTGCGCAGAGGGGGCCCAGCGGGAGAGAAAGCAAATGAGTTGTATGCAGGAGGGCAGCCACTCTGGTGCCTCCCTCCCTGCCAAGGCCTGTCAAGGGCCCAGGAAGCCAGGGCTCATCCTATCTCAACAGAGCCCAAGCCACCCATGCTTCTGTAGATGGAGCCCGGGTCTGGGCATCATGGGAAAGGCTCTTTCCACTAGACACTCCCGATGCCACATGGACCACAGTGACATCACTGTGTTCACTGCCAGGGTTCCAGTACCATCCCAGCTGCAGTGAGGACCTCTCCTCCCTCAGCAGGAGTGCAGGGCTGAAGCTTGATCAAACCCTGTTCACCCTGGTCAGAGGGAGCCTCCCATGGGGTAACAACTAACGGGTGAGGCCATTCCTGAATACCCATGGTGGATTCCACTTCACTGGCCAACCAGCTCTCCAAGAACACAAAACTAGGAATTCTCAGGGCTCTCTGGCCACCAGCTCTTGATCATCCCCGATCCACCTGGGGAGACTGCTGGGCACTAAGGGACCAGGAAAGCATGGCTTCTCCAGAGAGTAGCCGATTCCCCAAAATGAGTCCAGGCCATGGCCTCCTCAAGGGATTTCATCAGGCAGGGAACAGTGGAATCCTTGGAGCCAGAGAGTCAGTCCAGCTGCCTCTTGAGGACACCTGGACCATGTCGCGGTAGTGTCTGCTGGCAGATTTATTTCCTGCAGGATGGACACATAGTCAAGGCTCAGCACCCACACAAAGGAGCAGTCACAGGGCAGGTCCAGGCCAGGTCTCCCAAGCCTCACCGGCTGCCACAGAGGAACAGCAGGTTCTGTACAGCAGGGACAGTAGAGTTGGCATTCTGCCCGGTGATCAAGTGGCGATCTAGCACAACGTGCACGGCATCAGGCTCACTGGCTAGGAGGGCACAGGTCTTAGACGCTGGTGTCCCCAGACCCATTTCTGCCCACTGAGGACCCAGTGACTGAGTGGGGCTCGGGCTGTCTAGCATGGGCTGTGGCCAAAGGCATTGCCAGCTTCTCCCAAGGTGCACCTGGAATTTGGGGGCATGCCAGGCTTACCACTGAAGCCAGCGCCTGAGTCCTTCACAAAGTCCTCCACGACTAGCGGCAGCCGGGCGAAGCCAGGGGCTCTGATGAGCTCATACACAGAAGGCTGTGGGGATGGGGACCTAAGCCAGACAACGGCCCCAGCAGCTCTGCTCCTGCCAGGGCCTCCCTCTGCCCCCAAGACCCGCCCCGAGGGACAGATAGGGTGCACCAAAGCAGGAGCCTCACTCACGATGGGCAGAGGATGGGAAGGGGGGTGTAATGTTGAGACAGAAAAGCCAGCTGTCTTCCCACAACAGGCAGCTCTCATGCTAAGGGCCCAGCTCCCCAGTATCAGGGCACCTGGTGACAGATGGGCTGGTGGCTGTGGCCAGGCCTCTCAGTGGGTAATGACATTGCCCATGTATGCCTGGCATCTGTCACACTGGACACGTCCTCATTTAGGGAATTAAGGGCCCCGGATAAAGGGACAGCAGGGTCACAGTGCTGTGAGAACCTGAGTGCAGATACTGGCCTTCCCAAGACACTCACCCCTGTCAGGCTATAGCCATGGAACACCCAGGACCTGTCCTCACTGGTGGCACAGCACAGAGCAGCAACACCATGGCCAATGGCACAGATAGGCTCTGAAAGTAGTGAAGCAACCCGAGGCCCAGTTCACCAGCCTGGCTGAATATATCTACATTCTGTCATAGGCTAGCTATCACCCACCTCTCCAGGAGAGAGTCAGTGCCAGGTTTTGCATAAGGCCCAGGTCACTCCAGGTTTGGGGCTGAGATACACACGAAGGAGAGACACCTAGTACAGCCTCTATCTGCAGGTCACCCTGGTTGAGACAAGGATAAGCCTTGCAGTGGGCTCACTGGCACCTTTCAAAGGCTACCTGGCACATGAGTTCCCATAGCTGAGATGTCTCCCTCTCCAGGCCCAGAGAGTCTGTTTTCCACAACAAAAGGGTGCTGTGTGGCAGCCCAGCCTTTCAGTGTGCTGGTCCCCAACTAGTGTCCTGTTTGTCATAATGGACACTGTGCACGCCTATCAGGACTGCTGCCATCAACCTACACATGCAGGTCCTCAGGAGGGCACAGCCACCAGTACCCTCAGGAGCCGAGGCTGGAGGAACATATCATATGGTTGAGGGTTGCATCTTTGTGTGTGTAAGTGGCACACAAACTTGTCCACTAACCAGGCAAGATCATGCGACTCTGCACAGGTCCAGCTGGCTGGGGAAATGACCAGGCATGCCCAGCTCTGAACCTGAAGCAGCTGCCCAACCCTACCCTGCATTGCCAGCCTATCCCTTGGTTCTTGTGACCTACTGCTCTCAGATCGGAAGTGCTGCAGGATGCGGGCCAGGGAACCACTGTTGGCCAGGTCAGCCAGGGCACCAGGACAGCTGGGGATCAGGAGAGCATGGTAGCGGGCACCTGAAGGGAGACCACAAGCCGGGAATCCACTAGTCAGTTCAAAGGGCAGAGCCAGGGCAGGATCCCCCCCATAAGAACCAGCCAGATATCACATGACTGTCCCAAACCCCACACAGTCCCCACAGACAGCTGACCTACCCCTCCCCCAGAAGAGCACAAGAACTCTAGGGCCCTAGACAGTCACAAAACTTCATGGCAAGCCCCAGCGTGGCTGCAAGGGAAGAATGGGACATACATTGAGATCCCAAACCCATCTGCAGCCCTTGATGCTCTAAGGTCTCAGGCACCCCACCCAAGAGGAACATGCTGCCCAGGAGGAATGCATCCTGGCCCACCATCGATAGACTCCAGCTTCGCAGGGCTAGCATAGGCTTTGAGGCGGAAGTCTTGAACCCAGCGTGCATTACTCTCAGTCAGGTCCACAAAATCCATGGCCTTCCCCTGCAAGAAAGATCCCGGAGGGCAAGGGTGAGCACTCGGGTCACTGAAATGGGTCCAGACTCAGGATAGTGGCAAGTACTGTCCCACACACTTTGCAGGGGACTTTACAAGGTACAAAATGGGCTAAGGAATGCACCTCAGCAGCACAGGACTAGCTTATCATGTGCAAGGCTCAGGGTTCAACTCATAGCTCCAAAATAAATAAATGAAATGTGAAAATTCACAAGCACACACTATATCCTGCAGTAGGTGTCTACTCCAGACCCTTTCCACTGGAAACATCTGCTACTTTCAGTAACCTGAGTCTCATTTGCCACTTGAAGCTGCTTAAAGCACATACCACAGTGAAAAGCCTCCCCTGCACCAGTCAGGCCAGAGCCCAGGGATGGGGACCAGTACTTCAGGATGTTGCCAGGTCTAGATGCAGAACCTTCACCCCAAACCAGCTCCATCAGGACACAGAAGGTTCCTCACAGGAGACAATAGCACCCTCCTGGCTTCTACCCCAAAATGTGGGGACTCCAAGCATCCACTGCCAGCAGGCTTGCACTTACCCCAGGAGTGGCCACCTGCAGGTTGAAGGCGGCACTGGCCAGTGTGAAGCAGTGGAGGAAGGACTGGGCAGACACACCTGCAGAAGAGGGCCAGGTGTGACAGGGCGGCCATCCTTGGGGGCTCTCTTGGTCTTAGATCCACCCTTAGAAGCAGGTCATCCCTGGCACTTTAGAACCCTTCAGGTTAGAAAGCTGAAACCCAAGGAGCACAGCTAGATCTGCGCCCCACTAGGCCAGACTGTCCCCAGCCTGGGACTTGGCCTTCAGGCCCTAGCCAGACCTGGACACAACCCAGTCCCCTCAAGGCTCCAAACCACTCCACCTCCCCCATCCTCACACACAGTTGCCAGAGGTCTCTAAACACAAACCCAAGTGCAGGGCTCACTTACAAACAGCCATTCATAGCACCCAGTGTCCCAGGTGCCCACAGCTGGGGAGAGGCAGTTAGGCCGGAGCCCAAAGAAATGGGGCTTTGACTAGCAGCAGCTGTAGAGTGCAGTGTTCTAAGCCCTCCCCACACCCAAGAAAAGACAAGCCCTTCCAAAGGCTCCGGAATTTTGCCCCTTTTGCCTTGCTGTTCCCAGGCTTCTGCTGCCATCAAGGGACCTTTCAAAACGAACCAGGCCTGCCCAGTCCTGGAGGCTCCAGGACAGCACAGCTCTGCACCTGGACTCCAAGGTGCACAGACTCGCGTTACCTTCTGCAGCACCAGGTGTCGACATTGATTTAACTCCGAAATCCAATCCCTGAACCTCATTAAAACACAGTCATCGCCAACCATTCACACGGGGAATAAACATTCTCCAAACCACACGGCATTCTGTCCACACCTTACCCCAAACCCTCGCTCCTTACGCCTGCCACCACCATCCGCCCAGTCACCTCGCCGCCCCGTCCCAGCCCCTAACCCCCGTCCTGAGCAAGCCTTCCCTGGCGCACTCAGCCTCTGGAGACAAGGCCCACACTGCAGTGCCGCTCCCCCTCGGGTTCCTCTCACCGCCCTCAGGAGACGGCGTGGGGATCACAGAACGCGGCAGGCCACGACCACACGACGCAATCCCCTCTCAGATACCGACCTACAGGCCCCTGGATCCGACAGAAGGGTCACTGGCTGAATGTCTCCCCAGTGGCCACCAAGCTCCTGGTCTGGCGCTCAGGAAGGCGCCAGCCCCGCCTTCCAGAACCCGCCGGGCACCAGGCGCCTGCTGCGGACACACAACCCCGCCGTCCGGTGCCCCGGCCTGCCCCTTCCCGAGTGCTTCCTGGAGCAGCGGGAACAGAGCCGCCCCTAGGGAACCACAGCAGCGGCCAAAACCCCGACTCCTCCCGCGGGAGCCTCGGGCTCAGGCCGCAGCGCCCAAGAACGGCCGCCTCAGGTGCGGCGCGGCGCAGCTTCCTCCGGCCCCTGCGACCGCCTGAGGTATCACCTGATCCCAGCGCCCGGGCAGCTGCAAAGCACGCCTCACCTTCGGCGACACCGCTGGCCACGAGCAAACAGGCGGGCCGGATGGGCAGCCGCTCCGACGCCATGGCTTTGGTACCCGCTGGCTAGGCCGCGAGGCAGAGCATGCGCAGCGGGCGGAGCGAGATCGAGGGCGGGGCAGAGCATGCGCACCGCGAGGATGCAGGTTTTGGGGGGCGCAACTAAGAGCGCCATGGCGCACGCGCCCGCGTCCTCTAAGCAACGCTTTGGCAAGCTCAAAGTTCTGGCCTTTCTGCCTTGCTAGACTGCTCGGCTACGTGGCCCGGAAGACTGATCAGACCTGGCCCGCTCCTGCTGGCTTCGGCTCTTCCTAGCTGGGTCATTTGACTCCGCGCCAACGGGACAGAGCTAGGCCACAGCGTAAATCTGGAGCACGGACCCTGAGCGCTGCCAGGTCCGGCCCGGTGGACAAGGACCGCCTGCTTAGCGAGCTTCCGCATGGTCCAAATGGGGAGCGAGCCTCCAGGGGGGACAGGCGCACCCTAGGAATGGGCGTCACCACCTGAAATGACGCCTACGCAGTGCTGAGTCCTGTTGGAAAGTCCGGGTTGTCTGGGGCAAGGCTGCATCTGATGCAGTTTTTCCTTGCGGTGTAGATGACCCCGAATATCTTTGGCCAGCAGGTATGCTGTGTCCTTTGCTGTCTGGATTGGAGAGAGTGGAATGGCTCGGACCCAAGCTGGTGGGGAGGCTGGTGGCCCCCTCCTGCCACCACCAGGACTGTTGCTGCACTCAGGAAAGTGTCATGATTGGTACTAATCAGAGCGGCTGAGTCCAGGGCACGGTGCCTCCGAGCCACGCAGCACCTCTTCTGCTACTGCCTCTGCCTCCTATCCTGCCAAGTGACAGAGGAGGCCCCAGCCTACCAGACCTGCAGGAGCAGCTGCCCCACATCCCTGAGTAGCATCCTCAAAGCTGACCCCAGGGACACAGCTGACCCCTGGTATGGTGGGCTGCTGTGAGGATTGATGAGCAGGGCCTGCCAAGGGTCCCAGGATGGGGGCCAGAGGTCTCAGGTGGGAACCCCATGCTGAGGTGTCTGGCTGCACCTGGCACACACCTCCTTGTCCTGATGTGCCACACCTCCTCCGAAGGCCTCTCTCAGGGCCAAGTCTGAGTCCTGATAGGCACAGGCACTAGCACCTGGATGGGACATCTGTGATGTCTGGTGACTGGGTACAGTTGCTGGGCTCTCTCACATGAGTGACAAGGAAGGTGCAGGGGGCTGGAGTGCCCCTGAAGTTGGGTTTGGCCTTGTTGGGAGGCTACAAGCCACAGGAACATGGGCACTGTGGAGCATGTTTGCTTGTTTCCCATCTCTAAACTTGCTCCTGTGCCATCCAGGGATAGGTGGAAGGGACCTCTGCCCTGTGGGGCTGGCCCAGACTGCAGGGCCTCCAGTGTCCTGCCAGCCCTGCCTGCTTTCACCTATGTCTTTCCTGCGTGCTTTTGCACTGGCTGCTCTTCTCTGGCTGAAATGCCAGAGCTCCTCTCTGCCGGTGAAACTCTTGACCACTGACTTCACTCCTAAGCCCTAAGCATCAGTGGCACTACCTGCTCACTGCTGTTTTATTGAGAATGTGGCTGTACAATGTATTTGCATGTCCATTGGTAGCTCAGGTGACTTTCAGGCAAACCTTAGTAGGGGTCTGGGCTTTGGGATACATGATCCTCTCCTTGCTGTGTAGGGGTGAGAACTGTCCAGAGCCAGCTGCATGCCCAGCATGGGTTAGGGCAGGGTTGGGCTAGGTGAGATGTGGAGACTCACAGCTCAAGAAGCAGAGGGCAGTGAGTGGCAGCCCCAAGCTAGTCTGGGGCAGGAACAAGCGATCACTGGGGCAGAAAGGCTCAGCACCATTGGGAATGCCCAGCCACTGCCCTGTCTTTCCACAGGTTGGCAGGGCCTGGGCAAGGAGTCCCAAATGTGCACAGATGGTGGCAGTTGTTGCCTGAAGAAGCTGAGGGGAAAAGACTGTCACAGACCCAGGATGTCAGGAGGACCCAGTGGAAGGGGTCAGTGAGTATCCAAGTCCTGTGGGGTGGAGGGTGATGGGGACCAACTTACTTTTGACCTCTGTGCCAAGCAGAGATAAGTTTCAGGAAGGTCATATCAGTGCTGCTTGCCTAGTATGGGTGCACATGCCTGCCAGGACAGGGTATCTGCCCTTGCTGGCCTGCAGTGGACAATGCAGCCCATCTATTCCATTGTCACGACTTGAGGGGACTGGCCAGTGAGGTGTATGGAGCCAAGAGCTCTGAGTACAGGTATGCATCTGCCCTATGTTGGGCCTTGGGCATTAGGCTCTGGGTCTGGAGGATTTTGTTGGCTTTCTCTACACACGCTTCAGAGGGCAGGGCTGCTGGGATGATGATGCATAGTCACAGGGAGAGAAGCTGCTTGTTCTTGGCAAGAGGGACAGGGTGCTAGAGAGGAAAAAAATAATGTGCCCTGGCCCCTACCATGCTGCTAGAAGCTTGCAACATGATGACAGAAGAGGCCAGCACTGGTGCTCCAAAAGCAAAGGCTGAAGGCTCAGGACATGAGAGCAGCCTAGAGGGGGTATAACCTGGGGCTCGCTGTGGGGCAGGGCCTGCCTCCAGCACTCTCCAGGACACAGATGCCTCTGTCCCTGAGATAACACTGCCTGTGCTACATTTAACAGTGCATGTGTGCTTTTTATTTTTTATTTTTCATTTTTTTTTTATTGAACTCACGACCACACACTTGCAAGGCAGGCGCTTATGCTGCTAAGCTAAATCCCTAGGCCTGTGTGTGCTTTTTAATATACTGAATATTTTTAAAATCTGGTATTTGCTTATGTTTATTTTATTTTTTAATTAAAAATAAAACAGTGAAACCAGGCTGGTCCTGGTAGTGAGTTATCTCAATTGATTGTTCACAGTCAGTACAGATTGAACTCCTTGTTCTACTGTTTCCCCCCTTCTCACTACTGCACTTGACTAGTCTTATAAAAAAAAAAACAAAACCAAAAATGAATAGAAGAAAATAATAAAGATCAGAAAACACAACCCCTTATCAAACTGTCAACATCATTCATACAGATTAGCATTTTTGCTTATATATATATATATATATTTTTTTTTTTTAATCTTTTTATCGGTACCGGGGATTGAACTCACAACCACCTGCTTGCAAGGCAGGTGCTTATGCTGCTGAGCTAAATCACCAGCCCCTTTGCTTATATTTTAAAAGCCATTCTGTAATCAAAATAAACCAGCCCTGATGTCCCTGAGATATTTTTGTTTTGTTTTTTGTTTTCTCTTTTGGAAAGTTCGTTATATTCAAGTTGGAGGACCTTTGAAATTTTGAGTTTTGGGGATGTGTGACAGCAGATTCTGACAGTCCCCTGAAGGGGAGGGACGTCAGGAACTGCTGAACCTGGTGGGAAATTAAAAAAGAAATGAGACAAGATAGTTACAGTGACTGTGATGTCAACATCTGTCAGGTATGGCTGCAGGCTCAGGACATGCTGTGCTGAGAAGCAAGAGCTGGGGGAGATAGTGTCACTGTGCAAGGAGGCAGGGGCCCTTGGATCTCCTGAGGGGAAGGAGACGGCTTCTGTGTTGCCTTCAGAACCTCATTATCTGGGGTGAGGCCAGTGTGAGTCCTCATGGGCTGCTGAACTAGGGCATGGCAGGATGTCCTCCTCATCCCGGCTGCAGATGCTCAGACACAGTTCAGCTTCCTGCTCCAGAAGCCACGAAGTGAGAGTTTCCAGTGCCCTCAGTGGCAAAAGCTTGGGATAAGCAATGTGTAGAAGTCCCTCAGGCCAGGCGAAGGCTTTTCAGCCAGCAGACATGCAAGCTCTAGCACAGAGAGGAGGAAGAAGATGAGGGGAGGGTGAGACTGCATGGTGAGTGGAGCCACTCAAGCAGGCCAGGGTTCTCACGGATTGGCAGACCACTGCACAGTATACCTGCCATGGAGGGGCAGCGATGCCACTGCTGGGCACACTTCAGAAGTAAGGAAAATGGGGACCCAGGTGTTGTACATCCCTGTTCATGAGAACCCAGAGACAGAAGCAACCTGAGTGTCCATGGACAGATAACAGGTACACACAGAATGTGGTCCATCCAGTCTAATGCTTTGCAGCTCAAAAGTCGTGGCTCATTGCCAGGTGCAATGGCATACGACTGTCATCCCAGCACTCAGAGGCCAAGACAGGAGGATCACAGGTTTGAGGCCAGTGTGAAAACTTAGCAAGATCTGGTCTATACACACAAAGAGCTAGGAGTGGGGGCTGGGGATTTAGCTCAGCGGCATAAGCGCCTGCCTTGCAAGCAGGCAGTCATGAGTTCAATCCATGGTACCGATAAAAATGAAAAAAAGACCAAAAAAAAAAAGAGACAAAAAAAGAGCTGGGAGTGTACCTCAGTATGAAGGCCTGAGAACCCTTTGGGAGCTGTTGAAGCTGGAAATCGACCACATGTGCAGGGCTGAGGTGTGGCCAGAGCATGGCTGTCCCAAGAACAAAGAGCACCCAAGGCAAGCCACCTGAAGAAGTTGCTTCAGCCCAGAAAAACACCAAGCCCCTACACATTCCAAGGAATGGGTTGCTAGACAGTGGGGTTGAAGTTGACATCATCTTTCCAAGTGTATAAATAAAGGTGCTACAGTGATTGAGCAGTTCCACCCATTATGGGATTAAGGGCTCCACCTGACCCCAGCTTTGTCTCGATTTTCTCATCCTCCCTTGGTCCTTCACCCTAGGAAGCTCAAGGGCCACATGTGTCATAGCAAACCCCAGTACAGGAAAAAAAAAAAAAAAAACCTGATACATTACATGGGTGAAGCTTGAGGCCATTTTGCCCTAGTCACCAGATCCCTTGAGATAGGAAGTAGGATAGTGGGTGCCAGGGGCTGGGGACAAAACTTGAGATGAAAATCCTGGAGGTAGAGAATTCTGGATGCACAGTGTGGACCAGGTTAGACATAATTTTTTGTGATTTGTTTCGTTTGTAGTAGGGTTCAGTCCAGGCTGGCAATCCTCTGGCCTCAGCCTCCGGAGAATTGAGATGATAGATATGTGCCGTCAGGCCCAGTTGGTAACTCACAGAGAAAAGGTTCATCCTGCCCTATGGCTTTAGAGGCTTCGAGCTGATGGTGGTCAGGCAGTGTGTCATAGAAGGTGCCTGTGTTGGATCAAAACTTATTTCTCGCCAGAAGCATAAGAGCCAGGAGAGGTCAGTGTCCCGAGGTTCCCTTGCAGCACATGCCTCTAAGTGCAGTTCAGTGAAGAGACCCTAGTTTAGCAACTTGGGTGGGTGGGGTTACACCCCTGGTGACCTGAGGACCTCCCACTAGGACCCTCCTTAAAGGTTTCACAACCTCCAGACAGTGCCAAGCTGAGGGCCCACCCCTGAACACATAGGTCTTAGCAGGACAGTCCAGATCAACTCAGTATGCATTGTGAGCATTTTCCTCCTTTCGTGTGGAGGTGCAGACATTGGGTTTTTTCGTTTTGTTTTGTTTTTTGTTTTTATCTTTTTTTGAGATGGGTCTCACTATGCAGTTCAGGTTGGCCTTGAGCTCACTTTGTAGCCCAGGATGGTCTCAATCCTCCCAGTCAGCCTCCTGAGTGCTGGGATTACAGGTGTGAGCCACCAAGCCCTGCGAGGTGCAGATATTGTTTTTTTGTTTTGTTTTTTTGTCTTTTTCATTTTTATCGGTACTGGGGATCGAACTCACGACCGCCTGCTTGCAAGGCAAGTACTTATGCCACTGAGCTAAATTCCCAGCCCCAGTGTAGCACCTTGTGAGTCAGTGAGGAAAGGAAGTAGTAGTGTGTTGCAGCTCAGAAGGCCACACATGGGCTCACAGCTTAGGCTGGAAGACCTACCCGCAGCCCCAGGTCTGCTGAAATGAATGGTATTGTTTGTCTAAGTCGTTTTGGGTTTTGAGACAGGTTCACTTCTTTAGAATGGTCTCGGATATGAAATCCCCCTGCCTTGTTTCCCATACCTCTGAGATGCAGTTGTCTATTTTGAGGTACAAACCACAGGGTAGATAAAATGGTGAGAGGACTGGAGAGTGGGAAGAGTGAGATGCCTGCCAGACACAGAAGAGTACACCTATGTGGCACAGCACCCTCTTTCCCCCTGGATAGCCAGGCCTGGCTTGGGTGGCCCAGGAGAGGCCTTCTGGACTTGAGAAGATGAGGGGCAGCCTGGGCAGGTACTACAGTCCACTCTGGGGGTTTTCACCCTGTGGAGGTGCCCACAGCTGTTACCCTGGGCTGTGGCTGTGTGAATGGGACCCCTCCCGCCAGCTGGAAGGTGGCCTAGGGGAGGAGATGGAAGGAGCACTACCCACCAGCCTGGCACCCTAGGTGTGGGGCCATGGGACCCAGATGGGACTTCTGGGCCCAGCATGACCTCAGTGCCTGACTGGACACTAGGTCAGAGCAGGCTAACTGCCCTCAGGCTCCTCTGTTCCCCTTCAAGGATGGGGCTCCTAGAGGACTGAAAGGAGCTTCCTGCCTTGTGCTGTGAAGCCAGTGACCCAGCCTGGGCTATGTCCACACACATGGTGTTCTGCTGGAATTAGGGTGCCAAGAGAGCTGGTAAAGGGCAGGCTCACTGGGTGTATCCACCAGGGACCTGGCACTTCTGCCTGCTGCCTATGAAGCCCAGGTATGGATCTGTGTCCCCAGGTCCCAGCTGGAAGCTTCTGGCCCTCCCAGCCCATGCAGGTGAGAACACCAGCCTAGCCTTTAGACAACAGAGTTTATTTCCAACTTAGCCTCTGCCCAGGCCCAGTTCCTGTGGTGCTAGCCAGGTGAGGACATGATTCCCACAATGGCTACCACCACCACTTTGGGAAGCCTGCCTGCTGCCACCATGCCAGGGCAGGCCAGGGCCATGTGTGCGGAGGGCTGTGCAGCAGTCTTACTGCAGGAAGTGGGTGGTGGGTGACTGCCACCCACCAAGCAGTTCTACTCTACCTGTGTTATTGCATTTATACGCTTGTTAGACGGGGTCGCAGGGTGCAGGCAGGAGGGCCCACTCTAAGGGGGCATTGGCAGGCACAGCTGGGTGATGAGAGCCTCCTTGGATACCTGGCTCCCTCCCAGGCTGTCAGCACTGCCCAGGAAATGCAGCGTGGCCCTAGTTGCATGGCCTTCACTGGGCACAAGCTAGAAAAAGGGAACTTCCGGGAGCCCCTGCTAAGACAGTACCAAGCTGTCTCTCCTCCTAGTTACAGCAGGCAGTTGTGGAGGTGGCACTGAAGAGGGACTGCTCACCTCAGGGCAGTCTTTCTGTGTCAAGCCCAGACCAGGATTAGGAATACAAACTTTAGGGACCTGCTGCCCACCCCGACTCTGCTCCTTCAGAGACCAGGTAGCTGCACACAGGATCTATTCTGTCCTTCCTCACTGTGTCCACTGCCTGGCCTGCCCAGCAGGACCTCTGCCCTGTTCTGTAAGCCCCAGAGCCCAGGCTTCTGCCTCAGAGCGTGGCGGAGACTATGCTGGGGTGAGCAGAGGCGGCTTGCTGTGTCTTTCCCGCTGTGTACATAGAGAGGGTATACATATATGTATATGATGTATTATGTAGATATAGATAGGTACTGTAAACTCGCATGCACTAGCTCCCAGGTCTGTACAGAAAATGGCTCTGTGCCCCCCTGGACACCAATCATCTAGGTATCATTTCTTCCGAGCCAGGAAGGCCACACCAAGAATCAGGGCCACTGCTGCCACAGCTACACCCCCAGCTACCAGCAGGGGTGTCAAGTTCTCGCAGGGCCAAGGACCTTTGCCCCCTGAGCACTTGGTGGTGGACTCGTCCTCCTCCGCCCCATCCCCAGGACCTTTGGGCTCTGGGGCTGCATCAGGACTGCTGGGGACAGCGGGAGCCGAAGGAGCCGGCTTCAGGTTGCTATGGTTGTTGAGAAGGGCAGGGTCAGCCTTGGCTGTGGTCTTCTTGGCAGAGGCGGGGGTTGTGGGCTGCTCCTGCTTCTCCACTTGGGCCTCCTTTTTTCCAGCCTTGGTTGAAGGGACTTTTCCATCGGCAGCTGGAATGGCCTTGGCCTCGGCAGTGGCCTGAGACACCTTGGTGTCTGGCTTGGGACTGCTGGCCAACTTCGCCCTGGACTCCATGGTGGTGGTGCTGGCGACTGGGCAGGCGTCGGGGACAGGCAGATGGCTTGACTGGTGTCTCAGGACAGCTTGACCCTGGGCATCATATGGGCCTGGAGGGGGATGTGGGTGAGGATGTGGCAAGAGAAGCAGCCCCATGCATCCCTGGTACCCTGCCCTTTGCACACTTTTCCTGTGTCCTGGCCTCCCTAGGTGTCTTGGTTCAGAGCTTCCATATCCCAGCCTCCTCTTCAAGGTATGGTCCCCATCAGCCTGACCACTCCTAGAGCTGCCCCCACAGCTACAGAGGCAGGGTGCTATGGACTGAACCCAGGTGGGCAGGGCCAGGTGGACTAGCCAGAGGCCTCTGCTTCCTCTCTGGACCTATCCTGCCTATGGCCTGTTGCATCCATTCCCTGAGAACTGTAGCAATGCATGGTCAGAGGGTGATAGGTACATAAGGGCATGGTAGCACAGAGACAAAGCACATATCAGAGGGCTCCTCGCTGTTCCTCAGGAGTGCTGAGCTGCCCTGGGCTGTGGCCTGGCCAAGGTCCTAGTGGAAGAGGGGCAGGGCTGAGCTGGAGCCCTCGCTCAGGGCCAGGAGTGGGGCCACAGGCATTAGGATGAGGACCCTGGGGTGATGAAACTGAGGCATCACCCCTAGGCAGAGAAGCAGGGCACGCGCCCACCCACCTCCTGGCTTCTGGTGCCCTCACCCCCCAGCACCTCACCTATGTCTGGCCCAATGGCAGGGTGTCCTTGTGGAGCCTGCCTCTGGGATTGCCTCAGGCACAGCCTAGAGTAGTACCCACAGTGCCCTAGGGCCTTAGGGTCAGGGCACAGGCTGGGTGCTCCATTGTAAGAAAGACCTCACCAACCCCCAGGTTCCAGATGGGGTGCAGGAAGGGCCTGGCCTGAGGACCACAGCTAAGGCCAGCCAGCCCGGCCTCGGGAAGGATGAGAAATGCCCCCACCTACAGGAAGAGGGAACCTGCCCAAGGATGTAGCTCAGGCTTCCCACGCCAACAGGCGCAGTGACCACACTGAAGGTCACCTGAAGGTCATGGCGTTTCGAGGGTGTCCCGAGGAGAGGCCAGGCCATAGCCTGACTTCCCAGGGAGCTCCAGCCGCCCCTAGTACCTGCGGGTTGGAAGGGTTAGGCCCTCGGCGGCACCGGTGAAGGCAGCTGTGCCCCTCGTCACCTCTGGTTTGCACCTGTGCCTTACCAACTGCCGCCACCTCTGCAGCCTCCGAGCCCGGGAGAGCAGGGCTGCGCGACCCGGCGACCTCCGCGGCCGGGCACCCTGGCCCGCCCCAGCCCGGCACCCCACCCCGCTGCCCGCCACAGGACCCGCTGCCTTACGCCGTCTGTCTGGCCTGCTGGCGCTGCGCCTCCTTCAGGCTCTGCAGCGACGACGGTGTGGACGCGGGCCACCCGGAGTTTCCCACAGTGCACAGCTCGGCGCAGGACGCGAGGACCACGAGGGCGGAGTCTGATTACGCAACTTTGGGCGGGGCCTTTGCCATCACGGGGCGGAGTCTAAGGCTGACTTGCGGGGGTGCGTCCCCTCAGCCCTACGCTAGAAAGCAAGCTGAGGGCCCACGGAGCCGGAGCCGCCGCTACGCAGTATTCAGGTACCCATCCTTCTTGTAGGACAGTCGCAAGCCATCCCCGCCTGCGGTCTGGCCCCTCCACAGCGCAGGCTGGGGGAGCTGGGCCTTGGAAGAAGAGCTGTCCTCCCACACCCACAGACATGCAGAGAGGAGGCATCTACTTAGAATATTTATTTATCGTCATACATGACAAGACACAAAAAGTTACAACTTCTTAAAACTCTTCAAAAGAAAAAATATAATTCTGTAAGCAGCAGCAGCTTCCAAGGTACAGATACAGGAGGGGGCAGCTCCCAGGAGCAACCGTGAAATGGGGGCCAATACCTGCGCCCCAGGTAGTGTCACTGGGAAGGGGCCTCCACAGAGGGGGCCAGGCTAGAGGACACAGCACCAGCACTTCAGGATCAGTCACCAACAGGATCACAGCGAGGCAGGACAAGGCGCCTGCCTGAAATTACAACATCAGGGCATGAGGGAGGGGGCTTCCCAGCATTGTCAGGAGAGTAAGGTGGGCTCTAGAGGGTGGGCAGCAGCCACTGCCTCCCCCACAGCAGGGCAGGTGCCCCATTCTCCATACTGGTTTTCAAGTCTGCTGTTGGGCCTGGTCAATCTCAGACAGTCTAATCCAGTCCAGTTCAGGGGTGGGGGAGTCTCAAAATAAATTCCTGGACAGGGTCAGCAGAGGGTCTAGAGCTAGGGCCTGCCTGGCCACATGGGCCAGGCAGCAGCACCCCAGCCCCTTCCCAAGGAGCCAGGCCAGTTAAGGGCTGACAGGCACAACCTGCTCCTCATCATGTATACACACGCACACAGCCTTCATGCAGCCTGGACCAGCCTGAGGCAGGGCTGAGGCCTCCATCAGATCCCTCGTGGGCCGCTTGCCCTGGGAGCCAGCACTCAGTGTGAGCCCCACCGCTCTGGGATTCCTGCAAGGCTGGCTGAGATGAGAGCAGCAAGGACGGTGGATGGATGAACAGGACAGGCAGCCACATGGGCACAGCAAGTTCAATAAATAGGTTTGCCTAGGTCCCCTTTGTAAACCAGGAGAGCCTTGGATGCCAGTGGATGGGGCCTAGTGTCCAGTCTGCTCAGCCTAGGTCCAGGGCCCCCAGCCCAGAGACCAGCTCTGTCCCTGGGGGTGTTCAGTCCAGGCAGGACTGGATTTTGGTCTGGCTCAAGGAATGTACAGATATATGCATTTTCTACATAAATAAGACATTGATTCCAATTGTGGTGTCCACAGGGCCCCGTGGCAGCCTTGTGTGCACCACCCCCATGGACCCTGAACCCTGTTCTTCCCACCCCCATGGACCAGGACTGGAGAGAGACTTCCCACTCTCAGTCCTGGACCGGCTGCCCTGCTTTGCCCCCACAGTGGGCTCAGGCCTGGGGTTCTTGTAGCAGCTGCAGCAGGGACTCAGCAATACCCAGGAAGTAGACCACCTGTGCGATGCCAAACAGGGGAGCAATGACCAGTGCACGACAGTAGGCACCCTTCAGGAAGGCGGAGGGGCCCTCATGCTGCCAGATCTTCCTGTGGGCAAGGGGAAGGTCAGTACAGTGCTACCCTTGTCTCCCAGCCCCAGTCCTGGGACCTTCCCACCTGGCACAGTCCAGAAAGCCAGAGTAGGTGTCTTCATTGATGCCACGCTGCAGCGACTGGAGCCGTGTCTTCACCACTACAAAGGGCATATGCATTAGCACAGGAGCCCACCCTGGGCCCCCATCCCCAGCCTGAGGGCCAGGACCAGTACTGACCATCACAGGGGTTGACAGCCACGGCAGCTGCACTCCCAGCCACACAGCCAGCCAGAAATGATACATAGAAGGGTGACTTTTCCTCGGAGGCTGAGCGGCCTAGTTGGTCCAGGTTGGCAAACAGGGGGAAGTACACAATGGAGAAGGGGACATCCCTGCAGAGAGGGGATAGTGACACTGATTGCAGGGCGGGTTGTGGACCCAAGGCCGCCTCCACCCTTCCTTCCCTCCCACCTGAGCAGCGTGGCCCCCAGTCCCTTGTAGAGGCCAGCAATGCCACGGTTGCGCAGCAGGTCTCGGGTCAGCTGGGTGGCTGTGGGGCGGGATGCAGCAGGAGCCTCCACGGAGGTCGGGGCGCTGGCCTGGGCTGAGAGCTGGGTAGCCAGAATCTTCTTCTGGGCAGCTGGTGAGAAAAGGGCTCCCTTTGAGCTCTGAGCAAGGGACAAGACCCAGCTGCCGCGCCCCCTCCCCGACCTTGACCCTCACCAATTCGGCCTGCATCCTGCAGCTGGATCTTTAGCATCTCCATAGGGGTGGTGACGATCACCTGGCAGGTACCAGCTCCACACCCTGCCAACATCTCCTTGGGTAGTGTCAGCTTCTGCCTGTGGGAGTGACAGTGTGAGAAGTGGGAGTCCCTGCCTGGCACAAAGAGTGAATGAGGCCCTCAAACAGCAGGCACCAGGCCCACGGACACACAGCCACTAGGGCAAGGGAAGTAGGGATCTTGCATGTGCAGGGAGGGGCCACAATGGCAGCCCATGCTCCTTGAGAGGGAAGCTGGTTGGTCCCACAGTACTGGCAGCAGGCAGTGGCTGACAGCCAAGGACAGCTGACTTATCACCTGGAACCCCCTCACCACCACCCCCACACACAAAGGGGAGGTGCCTCCCTAGGTTAAGCAAGCCAGGGTAGGGCCCAAAGGCAGGAGATCCTTTAGGGCCACAGATGGGATCCAGTGGCCAGCGCTGATGTCTATGTCCACCCAGGCATTTGGCACAGTCCCCTCCCCAGGACCTGGGTCCACAGCAGCCAGGAGTGCCAAGTCTCTCACCCATCCTTTGAAAGTTGATGCCGGAAGAAGTCATTAGCTGCCAGCTTGATGGCTTTCTCAGGGGTGACCAAAGTCAGGTTCACAGCTGCTCCTGTGGGGTATTTTGGGGTCAGCAGAGCAGGGAAGACGCACACAGGTGGTATGGTGGAGATGACATGCTGTGCCCTGGTCAGGGAGGCTCTGGGCCAGTGCATGCCTCCCAACTGGCAAAGCCCCATGCACTACTCCTTGGCCACTGCATTCTGCCCTCTCACCCACATTTGGGCTTGGTCCATGCCAGATGGGGTGGGGAGCAGGCCTCTGTGTCACTGTCCTCCTGCACTGGCCTCCACCCTCCCCTCCCCCTGCATCTCCTCCCCAAATGCCATCTGTCTCGGATGCTGTCGAGATTCTGGAACCATGACATACCTCCCTGGGGACACCTCCCTCCTGGGGGATGAATGGGTGGGGGTAAGCAAAGACATAGGTGTCAGAACTAGCAGAGGTGGTGGCCAGCCCCTTCTCAATGCCAAGGCTCAGAGCTGCAAAAGTGGGCAAATCCGGGCCTGGCACTATTTTCTAAGCTGCTTTGCATAATGCCCCTTGCCTCCCAGACTGGGTGCACGCTGGATCCTGCGTGTCCTGGGAAGTGGGGGAGGAGGGTCAGATCCAGGGCAGTGTCCAAGCACTGGCAGTAAATGGCAGAGTGGCACCCCCCAGGAGATCCAATCTCTTACTCAATAGTCTCCCCTAGCACCCCAGGCGGGTCATGCCAGTGCCCCAGCCACCTCCACATGTCCACATGAGACCCAGGCATGCCTCCCTGCCCCACCAGCAGCCCACCGTGGCCCAAGCCTCACCCCGGTACATGCCAAAGTAGCCCTCTGAGCGGATGGTCTTGATTAGGCAGTCAGACCTGTGGCCAATTGGAAGGGGTGAGCAGGGGAGTTGGCCAGCGCCCCAGTTCCTGTGTACAGATGTGAGCTGGCACCTTCCCCACCCAGCCTGGAGCATTCAGGGTCCAGAGATCAGTCCCACAGCCCAGCAGGGGCCTGGCCAGTCCTGTGAGAGATACCCTAGGCTGCCCTACTCTGCCCCATCTCCCTTGTCCAGCCCAGAGCCCAGGTACAAAGCCCCCGGCATACTCACATGCTTGAGTACATGCGCTGACCATTTTGCTGGTTCTGCAGCCTCGTCTTGGCCAGGTCGATGGGGAACACACAGGTGACCCCAATTAGCCCAGCGATGCCACCATTGATGAGCTTGGCAGGCAGGCTGTATGTGCAGAGGGAGGTGTTAGGACTTCTTCCTCCACCATAGGTGGTGGGTGGCGTCTGGGGTGGGGAAGGGGTGTCTGGGGATCCAGGTGTCTGACCTGATCTGCTTATCAGCCATTTACTCTGACAGGCAGGCAGGAACAGCAGAGGTGGCCACCAGGCAGTAGAGGGGCAGATAACAGGAAGGGGGAGGGGAGGCACCACAGCAAAGCAGCGGTGGATAGGTGAAGGCCAGTGGGACTGACGCAAAAGGCAGCTGCTCCTCCACCCTCGGGAAGACTGTAAGCGTCACACCACCGCTGTGCAGAAAGGAAGAGAAAATGGGGATTAGTGGGGGGTGCACACGACAAAACCCTGCTCCACACCTTCATATCACAAGCAGCTGCACCCCCAACCCTCAGAAAGCTCAGTGTGCAGGAAGCAGGTGGAGACGCCTGCCACCTGGCCCATCCCTGGGGCCACCTGGTCTCTGCTTAACACCGCCGAATCCTCCTTGCCAACCTCACACAAGCTGGGACACGCACACACTCATGCTCACGTGCACACAGAACAAGCTCCAGCTTTTAAAGGGCCAGTCACCTCGGAGGGACCCGGCTGTGACAATCGGCCCCCAGCCTGGAGCAGGAGCAGCTGGCACCTGGACCTTTGGGATGGGTATAGGTCTCTTCCTCATACCCCAGGATCCTGCCCAGATGGGGCTGGCCACCTCAGGGACAACCCTCTCCCATGGAAACTAAGATCCCAATCACTCTAACCTGCCACCCCATCCTCTCCACCCAGATGCACACAGGACCCAGGGACCACGACCCCCAACGTTGGTAGTCTTAAGGGCCAGATGGTGGTCTGCCTGAGTCCTGAGGTTATTTTCCCATCCTCTCTTGGGATGAGGGTGGAAGGGTCTTTCCCACCAGCTGCACGGCTGGGGACCAGGAGCCAGTCCCAGGGGCCGTCCCAAGGTACACTGTCAGGAAAATGGAACCGTGGGGGTCTCACACTCCCCAGGCCCTGCATGTCTCCCGCACACCTCAGAGGTCAACTGTTCTCAGCTTTGCAGCCCTCCCAGGGTCACCCGGCTGGCTCACACACCAGGGCCCTCCAGGGTGAGCCCTTCACCCAGGGCTGCTCCCTACCCTGCCCATGGCCCGAGGGTCCAGCTCACCCTGGGTGCACAACCCCTCCAGAATCCTCCACAGCTCCCACAAGCACTCAATGCAACCTCAACTAGGAGATAAGTGACTAGGAGGCAGCGAGGGGCCAGGGGATTGGCCACGGGGTGGGGCGGGGCGACTTTCTCTTTCACTTTGCTAGCTAGGGATATTTGTAGTCTCGGGAGAGGAAAAGAGTAATATGCAGCCTCTTCCGGGCAGGAACCAGCGTGCGAGTCTGGATGGGGGAAACAGGGGTCTAATCTGTTGACCCCGCATGCTAAGCTGCCCACCCACAGGCCCTGCGCCTTTGGCTCCTCAGAGGATTCCTGGCTGCAGCCTGTGGGGTGAGCCCGGATCTGCCAAGGGCTCTGTTATCCCAGACTGAGGCTCTGGGTGCAAGCACCCTGCGGAGATGCTGGGTGCCCATCTGGCTTGAGGCCTGTGTGTGCTTTGGTGACCCTCTTGCAAGGCATAAAAAGCCATCTTCTGGGAAGGACAAAGGGCCGCCTGGACACCCTGCTTACCTGCCAGGTCCAGAAACCATGCAGCGACCTTTGCCTTGCCAGTCACACACCCAGCCTCACAACACCTGCCTCTCCAGTCCTAACCTCTGAACTTCAACCTAACCTCACCCCCTCCACCCTGCCCACCCCACCCCTGGGTGTACATTGGACACAGCTGGCTCTGCTTGGCCTATGGAGACTTGCAAGTCCCTACCCTGTCCTCAGGCCCAGCCTCCAGTCTGAAGTGGGAGACAGCAGGATGCTGGGGAAGGGCATTCTTAAGTTACAAACCGCTGAAGTGGCACCGGGGAGAGCCAGGTTGGCCCGGAGATTTTGAGTCAGCCCCACGCCCCGCAGCACAGGCCAGAGCAGGGGAGGTCAACACAGGGGTTTGACTTGGGACAACTCCGAAGAGGCACCCACACACACACACACCCCGTGGTTCCACTCCTGCTTAAGCGCTGTCAAGGGCCCTCCAGATTACCACAGAAGCCGGCAGTCCAGCAAGGCCCCCAAGTTCCCAGGGGCTAAGCCAGTCTGCAGCCCCAACCATCCCACCAAGGTGAAATGAGGTCACAGGCAGGGACAGAGCAGGAGCCCTCAAAGACCACCCGAGGGACTACCCTTTGGGATCTGGACCCCGGGTGAGGCTAGAGGAGTGTACAGGACTGGGCTTCGCATCGTCCCCAACCTTGGGTTCCTCCCTCCAGCCGGCTGGGCCCGGAAGGCGACCCCGATAGGGGACAATGGAGCGGCGCTGGGGCCGCGTGCTCATCTCTACCAGGCTTAGGCCCTGCGCTCCCCTGCTGGAACCTGGCTGCCCTGGAGTCCCAGACAGGGATCTTGGCCGTGCCGGAGGGGGTAAGTGTGCGCTCAGCCGCCGGGCCTCCCTCCCCTCCGGGCCGGCTCCTCCGCCAGGACACGTGTGCAGCGGGAATACGCGCGGTGGCGGGCCCGAGCACCGTATACACCCTCACAAGCCAAACCGAGCTGCGGCATCCTTCAGCCGCGCCCACGTCTCCCTTCCCGCAGCCCTCGGGTCCTTGCCGCCGCACTCACCGCTCCGCCGCCGCCGCCGCCGCCGCCGCCCCCCCACGCTCGCCTCCCCGCGGCGTGCGCGCGCAGCCCCGCCCGCCCGCCCCGCGTGCACAGCAGCTCCCTCTGTCGGCCACCGCGTACCTGTCCGCCCAGGGTGGCCTGCGTAGGCACCTCACTGGTCTCTGGACCCCATATGGGGCACTGCGGGGAGGGCAAAGGGGGTGCTGGTCCCGCGCTGGCGGGCAGGCTGAGGAGGTCCTACCACCCAGGGTAATTGTGCCCAGCCCGCCTCAGCCTTCACTTTTGTTTTTGAGAAAGGGTCTGGCTATGTGGTTCAGGCTGGCCTTATGCTCATTATATGACCCATATTGGCCTCAAATTCAAGGTGATCCTTCTGCCTCAGCCTCCCAAGTGCTGAGATTACAGGCATGCACCACCAGGCCCTCCTTCAGCCTTGGTGGAGGAAGGGTCCCTTCCAGCAGGGTTGGGTCTTCATCATTGGGTCACCCCTCCCTCCAGCCACCTCTCCCCCAGACAAATAAACCAAGCTCAGAGATGGCACAGGGATGTTGCAGATTGTTACACAAGGGGCACTGTCAATTAGCCTAGGCATAATGGTGCCAACTCCCAGCCGTGCCCTAGGCCTGAGCAGGCTCTAGGGGCTACTGAGTAGAAGCGCCTGGCAGGGCAGGGTCCTCAAGTGCCAAGCCCGTGCGACGGATGCTGTCCTGGTACTTGTGACGGCCGAGCTCCAAGATGGTCCGAACCTCGTCAGCTACATCCTGCCGGTCACTCTGCTCCAGGGCCTGCACCAGGCACCTCACGGCCCCCTGCTGTCCAGCCTGGCGCTCTGCCCAGGAGAAGAGCATGTGGCAAATCTGTCCATCCAGGTCATCCCTTGGAGGAAAAGTGGTGGTGACAAGGGTCCTGCCCAGCACTACTCACCACCCCCAGGATCACTCCCCATATACAGGGGGGGGGGATCCCCCACTCCTTGAGCCACTATGGCCACTTGAGCCACTCTGCAGGCTGGTGCTGGCCCACCCCCCACCTCCCTAGGAACCAGGGCTGTGCCAAGGCCAAGGCAGCAGGAGGAGGCTCACCGGAACTTGTGCCGGATGCGTTCTAGCTCTTGATAGGGCAGGCCCAAGTGCAGGGCCACAGCTGGCCAATCGGGACCCAGGCGCCTTGCCACACTCAGCAAGTTGCTCTGAGTCAGAAAGCCAGTCTCGGCATCACCCAGGTTCAGGGGCACCAGGGAGAGGCCAGGTCCCTGTCTGTGCCCCAAAGATCCCCGAAGTCTCTGTTGGGAAGAAGGGAGGCAGTGAGGAGGGGTCCTGACTAGGAATGTGGTCTGGAAGTGTATGCATAGGTGGGTAAGCCCCCAGAGCTCTGTCCCTCCTCTCCTGCAGCTTTTCACACCGGCAGCTTGATGGGCAGGGTGGCCATCCACAGGGCATCAGCAGCCTTCCTCTGCCGTGCAGCCTCGGCCTCCAGAGCCACCTCCTCTGGCACTGAGCCACGGTAGAAGGACACCTGAGGAGGACAGAGGGTTGAGGGCTCTGGCTTCTACTTAGGCAGCCTAGGAGGCCCTACCCCATTGCCCACCTGGCCTCGCACAGCCTGAGCCTCCCGGTCCAGAGAAGTGGTGATGTACACCTCCTTCACATTTTTTAAGTGTGAGTAGAAGACAAAGCAGATCCGGCCCTCTACGCAGTCCGGGCGGTCTGGGGGTGGGGAACAGCTCAGCAGGCATAGCAGAAGTGGTAGACCCAGGCCCTCTCAGGACAGGGTGGCCTACCAGCATCCACTTCGATCCCCCGCTCAAAGGCAGCAAAGAACTTCTCGCCCTCAAACATCTCTACAGTGTCAGAGGGCTCAGGGCCACGGTAGCGTTCCAGCAGCCGCCTCAGAGTAGCATCGACCTGTTAGACACCAGACACTTAGAGCCAGAGCCTTGGACCCCTGGCCTTCAGATCACCCACTGCAGTTTCCCGGCTCCTACCTTGTTCTGGGGCAGGCACTGCAGCAGCACCTGCTCAGGGTCCCGGCGGCGCTGCAGAGCAATGAGGTTGACCTGGTGAAGCCGAAGTCTCTCCCAGGCCTTGCGTGCCAGGCCCTCCACGCAGGTCTTGGTGGTGTACCACAGCCAGTACCTGGGAGGGCAGGTGATACGTGGCTGGACAGGCAAGAGTAGGGGTACTGGGGAAGGGGGAGAGGCACTGACCAGGAGAAATGTGTGACCTGGAAGCGTGCATACAGATGGGTAAGCTCCAAAGGCACCTGGCCTGTGATGTCATCCCAGGTGGCTGCAGGAGGGGCCCGGTACAGCAGGTACAGATGGGAGCGGTCCAGACTGAAGCCTGGACAAGAGAAGCAGCGGGCTGAGCCCTGATTGAGGCCCCTCCTTCTAAGCATCATTCTTACCACCCCATGGCCACATGCATGGCAGCCTCTCACCTGTGATACCAGGAGGTAGGGGCAGCTGCACAGTGACTGGGCAGAGGAAGCCAGCAGGGCCACGCTGTGTGAGGCACAGCAGGGGGCTCACAGCAGCCTCTGGTTCCCTCAGGAGGGCTCGAAGCTCCCTCCTGGCTATTCGTACCACCTGTAGGACAGGACAGGTCCCTCAGCACCCACTGTGTACAGGGCCACCTGCCACCCTGGGCGCTGCCTGATGCACCTGCATGGAAACATGACAAGGCTCCTCGGTGGCCCCTGGAGGAAAGATGACTTTGACCTCAGGATGACCTGAGGAGCATAACAGTGTCCCCTCTGGTGGCACCAGGCAGGCATTGGACACAGGACGTAAAACCACAAGGAACCAGGAGAAGTGGGGCACCTGGCAGCGAGCCCAGAGGCGCTGAATGACATGGGGAGAGAAACAGAATCAAGGCAAAACTTACAAGTCAAGCAGATGGGGTCAGGCAGCCACTCTCTGCACCTCTGCCCACAGGCCCAGACAGCCCTCACCTTTGGGGCTTCTTCCTCCAGGTGGGTCTCCAGGTCCTGCCAGCTGTCCTCACTCCGAGTCCTGACCACCACCTCATGGCAACGACGGGCACGTGGTGGGACAAAGAGCAGCCACAGACTCACATCCTGCCAGGTGATGAGAGTATGAGGACCAGGCCTACCTGGGGTCCTGATCCCCAGCCCCCCGGCCCCCCTGCCTGCTCATGCCTGCTGGAAGGCCACACCGTGGGGCCACAGCTCCAGGACACCACTGAGCAGAGAATCATGAGGACCTAGGGAGACAAGGCTTGGCTCTGGCAGCCACAGTCGATAGTGGATAGTGACAGGCACTGCAGTAGCCCCAGCTGGGAACTGCAGGCGGACACCACAGGCCAGAGTCACAGAGCAGCCTTGTGGGGTTACAGGAAAGCTGTAAGAAAAGGGTTCATGAGATCAGACACAGGAGGGCTGTGGGCTGGAGCCACAAGACCTTGAAGTGTGGGGAAGATATCCAGTATGGCCAGGTTAACAGGGTGGCTGTCCCCTCCCCACCAGTACCTGTCCACATCTGAAGTCAGGAATAGAGTGGGCATCTCCAGGTCTTGGGGTATCCCTGTGCAGAAGGGAGACTAGCCCTCGGGATGCTGACAGTGCCCATGTCCTCTCCATGGCCTGACCTCCCCACACCAAGCCTACCTGGGGGGCTAGGAGCGGCTGGCAAGGCTTTTCCCAGGGGGTTCCCCTCCAGGCACACACAGGGGGTATCCAGTAGGTCAGGGGGCAGGTTCTGGAGCTGGTTGTCCCTCAGATCCAGCCGTGTGAGCAACGGGAGGTGGGCCAAGCCAGCAGGCACTGAGGTCAGGAGATTGCTGTGCAGAACAAGGATCTGCAGGGACTGTAGCCCAGCTGTGGGCAAGCACACGCATAGGGTCACTGAGGACCACTTGGGGCCACCAAGGAAAGACAAAGATGCACAGGAGGCCCCAGAGCCCAGGGAGGTAGGAGGGCAGCAAGGAGGCAGCCAGCAAAGGGGGAAGGGACATTTGTGGTGAGGCCATGGTGTAGGGGCCCAGGTCGGGTTGCAGGCTGAGGCCATGGCTGCTACTCACCAAGGGAAGCTGGGAGGCTCCTCAACCGGTTGGAGGCCAGATTGAGCTCACTCAGATTGCTCAGGCCTCCGATCTCTGGAGGCACAGTGTCCAGAAGGTTTTCAGAGAGGTCAAGGCATTTCAGAGTGACCAGTGCCCCCAGTGCTGTAGGCAGCCTCTGCAGGTGGTTGTGTGTCACAGCAAGGAAGGTGAGGGTAGGCAGGGCCCCCAGGGCCTCAGGTAGCTCCGACAGGCGGTTATAAGACAGAAGGAGGGAGCCTAGGCCATGCAGCTGTGGGACACAGGCTGGCAGTGTCTCTAGGCTGTTGAAGCTCAGATCCAGGTGGACCAGGAAGGCCAGGCCACTCAGGCCAGCGGGCAGTGTGGTCAGGGTGCCCTGGAGGCAGACACCCAGGGCGCCCCGGCTTTGCCCTCCTGGAAGTGGGGGAGGCAGATGTGGTCAGGCTCCAGGTTCTAGCTGTGCCCTGCAGTCATACAAACCCACTGTTGAGGCAAAGGTCTCCCTCTCCTCCAGTCCGATGAGATAGGCGCTAGGACAAAGACACTGAGAGGCAGATGGATGGAGAAGGAATGGAGGCCACCAGCTCACGTCAGCTGACTGCATCACCCACCACCACCCCAAGAGCACATAGGATCTATGATGAACTTCACTGGGCATCTTCGGAGTTCAGGAGCAGATGGGACAAGGGGTGGGACAGGGGTTCCTATCTCCTATCTGGGGAGCAGGGAAGGAGAACAGACAAGATAGGGCCAGTGTTTCCTTTGTGAACCAAGAAGCAGAGGTGAAGCAGACAGAGGTAGAGACAAGGACACCAGGCACAAGGTGCTCACCTTTGAGGATCAGAGAGCGGAGGCGCAGCTGGCTCCAGGGCACCTGGGCCAGCGTGGTCTCCAGCAGCCCAGGGTTCTCGTGGGTGCTCAGCTGCAAGAACTCCACCTGCAGTAGTGGTGAGGGCTGCTGGGCACACAGGTGCAGCAGCCGGTGGCAGCCCCCAGGGTACAGGTCCAAGTTCAACCAATTTCCAGCCAAGACAGGAGAAGTCCCAGGTTGGGCATCTGCAGCCTCCACCACAAGTCTTGCTGTGTCTTCTGCAGCAGCCCCTTCCTCCGCCTCCAGCCCCTCCACTGCTGCAGCCATCATCCGGGGATGGTCCTTCAGGGGCAAGCATGTCCCAGCTTGCCAGGCAAGCCTAAGCAGGCAAAGCCTGGGGCACCTGCAGAGGCAGGCAGAGTGGGCAGGGTTGGGGGCTGGGCTGCTTCTCCCTACAGGGTACAGGAACCCAGGCTGGAGCTCACCCATCTGACCCAGAGAGCCACAGTTGAGAGCCCCTGCGGTCACTGCAGTACTGGGGGCTGTACCTCTGATGGAAAAGAGGCAGGGAGCTGAAATCTCATGGCGGGGAAGGAGAGGACAAGACGGGAGACCGGAGCAAGATAGCAGCTGGACAGCCTTGCTTACAGCGGGGCAGGCGTGGGCCTTCCTGTCCTAGTTTTAGAATTCGGCCAAGTGACCCTTAGACCTGGGTCATCGAGCTCTCCCAGCCCTGATCTGGGGATGGGAATCCAGCTTTAACCTTCACACTCCTCAGCTCTGGGAACGCGCATCTATCCTGGGGGTGACAGGGAGAGCCGCGGGGGACCGGGGCCACGGATCCCACTTCGAGGTTCGAGGAGGCGCTCCAGCTACCGCTTTCAAGTTACACTTCGGCCCACTTGGGAGCGTGGGTAGCGCACACTCAGGGCTCGGCTGGCAAAGGGCCCGTCTGCCCGAGTACCTGCAGTCCTCGGCGTCCGCGCCGCTCACTGGGGAGCTGGTTCCCGCCGGCGCGTTTCCGGGCCGGCAGGGGTCGGCCCCGCCCCGGCCTCAGTCCCGCCCATGACCACGCCCCATCCCGCCAGGCCCCTCCCCTCGCCCTGCAGAGGAGGCCGCTGGGTTCCTGCCTGGCCCGCTTCCCAGGAGGGTGGTGTCGCGGGAAAACCTGCACTCCCGGAGTTTCGGGATGCGAGACCCTCTGGGGGTGCGTAGTGCGGTCCTAGATGGGAATCCAGGCCAGAGTTTGGTTGAGGGAACACTGCTTGATGCCAACCCCGAAGACTGACTTCCTGTGAAGCATCTGAGACCTCCTTAGACCTGCAGGGTTTCAGCTATTCCGACCTCCTGGGGCGGGGCTTCCCAGCTCTGCCTCGGAGTCCTCTCGGAAGCACAGCGAAAAGGCAAAGGAGGCTCAGAGAGATGAGGTTTTGCCCAATGTGCTGTAGCTAGTGCATACCAAAGACGGCATTTACCAGGCCTCAGACCTGATCTCTGCCTCCCCACCGACTCACACCTCAATTTGGGAACCGGGCTGTGTCGTCATCCTGAATTGTCATTCACAAGCGAAGCTGGGCTGGACATGAGCAGATGCTGTTCCTTGGGACAGTTCTCCATCTGCCAGGCATCTCTGCTTAAGTCCTTGCCGGTCCTTGTCACTTACTCAGTTTCCACAAAGCTGCCAGAGGGACTTTTTTTTTTTGAGACAGGGTCTTGCTATGTAGCTCAGACAGGCCTCAAACTCAGCCATCCTCCTGCCTCAGTCTTCTAAGTGCTGAGATTACAGGCATGCCCTGCCACGTAGATGGGGCAGAGGGATATTTTTATTTTTTTGTCTTCTTTTTTTTCATTTTTATTGGTACCGGGGATCGAACTCACGACTGCCTGCTTGCAAGGCAGGTACTTATGCTGCTGAACTAAATCCCCAGCCCCAATCAAAGGGATATTTTAAAAAACCAATCACAAAGCCGGGCATGGTGGCACATGAAGTTGAGACAGGAGGATCACTGTGAGTTCCAGACCAACTTGGTTACAGTGTGAGCTCAAGGTCAGCCTGAACTACATAGCAAGACCCTATCTCAAAAAAGACCAAAAAAACAAAAACAAAAAAAGCTGGTATGGTGGCATAGTCCTGTAATCCCAGCATTCAGGAGGCTGAGGCAAAAGGGTCACAGAGAGTTTGAGGCCAGCCTACATTGCATAGTGAGACTCTGTCTCAAAATCACCAAAAGAAAAATTTAAAAAAAAGATGTGTTGAGAGGGGGAGCAGTTTAGGTAGAACTCTGAAAGAGTTGTGGATATCTTTCTGTAATAACTCAGACCCCGGTATAAAATCCAAGGAAGCAAGAGACTGAAATTTGGGGAGCAAAGGCTTTATTAGACCAGGGCTGGTGACGAGTTGACGAGTCTCCGGGAGCCAATTTGGAGACTGCGTGCCAGAGACTGAAAGGAGGACTTTAAAAAGAGGCTGGAGGAAAACCGGGGGGGGGGGGGTGGACAAAGAAACCTGCAGAGCCATCAAACTTGTTGACCCGAATCTGGAAACTGTACAGCTGTCCACTTAGTTCTGACAACCTCGGGAGCCTTTGGCGCCTTTTGAGTTACTCCCATCCTTCAGATAAGAATTATCTGCAATAGCATTTGGAGAAGAAAGTAGAAAGCTAATTATCTCAGGACAGCTCCTTAACACTAACAGGTGGGAAGGGGTCGAAAGTTACAAGAAGCTGAAACTTAAGGCTTCACAAGGATTTGGAACTTAACCCTTTTGGTGCATTAGGGTTAAGCCACAACATTTTCCTGTAATTTCTTTGAAGCTAAGGCACATTTTATGACAGACCACCGCCGGTTCAGGAAGAGGCCACCAGAAACCCAAAATCTTTATGGCCTAGCCTAGATAGATAGGTAAGGGGAGAGGGGAGGCAATAAGGCGCCATACAGAACAGAAAACGGAGGTTATGTTTTTCTTTTTTTCTTTTCTTTTTTTTTTTTTTTTTTTTGTCTTTTTCGTTTTTATCGGTACCAGGGATCGAACTCACTACTGCCTGCTTGCAAGGCAGGCGCTTATGCCGCTGAGCTAAATCCCCAGCCCCTATGTTTTTCTTTCTTTCTGGGGAGGGGAATCAAGGTCAGGTAAAGGGTTATGCTAATAAGCAAATCTCCCTGCACACAAGCAAGTTACTTCAAACAAGTGTAAATTAGAGGGCCATCCTAGTTTTCTTTAGCTCTTTAGCGGAGAATAGAGGCGCCTAACAGTGATTAACAACCCTTGTTAGCTTGTTTTAGCACCACTTCCGTTATGTAGAGGGCAACAATGGTTAACATATCAATTAGGTAAGGTTTACAATTCTTTACAGAGAAGAGCATTGATTAACATATCAATTAGGTCATCCAAAGACATAAGAAGGAAAACACATACAGTAAGCCCGTGTTACAGGTTTTGTTATAATACACATATAATGAAGCTATTTTCTTAGAGTACAACACTTTCTAGCCATTGAGACACAACTGTGAACTTTTTTTTTTTTTTTTTTTTTGCACTGGGGATCAAACTCACAACCTCATGCTTGCCAGGCAGGCGCTTATGCATATGCTGCTTATGTCTCTGAGCTAAATCCCCAGCCCTAAAAGTGTGCATTTCTCAAAATTCCTACCCTGCATTTTTCACACCCTGGAGATCACTTTGTTGTTTTGTTTTGGGGTTTTTTTTTTTTTTTTGGTTAGGTTGGTTTTTTGTTTTTGTTTTTGGGTACCAGGGATCAAATTCATGTCCTTGCTTATGCCACTGAGCTAAATTCCTGGCCCCCTGGAGGTCCGTTTGAAAGAAAATACAAGTCAGTGTCGCACACATGTGGAGAAAGGGAAAGCAGTGCTTCCTTCACAGGCTTTCTGCAGCAGGAATGGACAGTCTTGCAGTGATATTTTACCCCGTAAGGGCAAAGGGTTTTTTGGTTTTTTTCACCATTATCTAGATGCCAGTATCCAGGAATAAACAGTAAAATAAGCACTGTTGGCTAATTAAGACAGTTGTAAGCCACCGAATTTGAAGAAATCTACTTTTGCAGGGCATGGTGGTGCACACCTGTAATCCCAACACTAGGGAGGCTAAAGCAGGAGGACTGTTGCAAGTTCAAGACCAGCCTGTGCTACAAAGTGAGCCCAAAGCCAACCTGAATTGCATAGAGAGATCCTTTCTTAAAAAGACCAAAAAAAAAAAAAATCTGCTTTTTTAAGAATGCATGGAATAAAAGCCTAAACCCAATGTTGCTTACTTAGCCCTCTGAATTTAACAAAGCCTTATTGAAATAATTCTCTGAAAACAGGAAGGTCAGAAAGTAAGCAACTTGGCATGGAATAAACCAGCCCTTTAGAATGAGAGGTGGAGCAGTTCCCTCATCACCACCATTATTGCCTAGGGTATTTGCAACATGCAGTGTTTCTGACCCAGCATAACTTTATCTTTCTTTCTTTTTGTACTGGGAATCAAACTCAGGATTTTGCGCTTGTCAGGCAGGTGCTTATGCCACTGAGCTATATTCCCGGCCCTATCTTTTGGAGAGTACCATGTTCTCCCTCCCTCCCTCCCTCTCCCTCTCCTTCTCCCTCTCCCTCTCCCTCCCTTCTCTCTCTCTCTCTCTCTCTCTCTCTCTCTCTCTCTCTCTCTCTCTCTCCCTCTCTCCCTCTTTCCCTCTCTCTCTTTCTGGAATTATAGCCCAGGCTGGCCTCAGACTCAGTGATCTTCCTGGATCAGCCTCTCATGTGCTGGCACTACAAGTGTGTGTCATCATGTCTGGCTCCATGTTATCTTCTTAGTTATTACTTGAGATGACAACAACAGGTGGGCATGGTGACATGCCAATAATCCCAGACTCAGGGGGCTGAGACAAGAAGGATCACCTTGAGTTCAAGGCCAGTCTGTGAAACAGTGAGTTTAAGGCCAGCATGAACTATATAGTAAGACCCTGCCTCAAAAAACAAACAACACAGGGGCTGGGGATTTAGCTCAGCGTCATAAGTGCCTGCCTTGCAAGTGTGTGGTCATGAGTTCGATCCCTGGTACCAATTAAAAAAAAAAAAACAGCCAAGCTTGGTGGTACATGCCTGTAATTCAGGAGGCTGAGGCAGGAGGATTGATTGTTGGAAGTTTGAAACCAGCTACAAAGTGAGCTCAAGGCCAGCCTGACCACATAGAGACCCTGTGTCAAAAAGACCAAAAAAAAAAAAAAAAAAAAAAAAAAAGAAAGAAAGAAAAATCCAGGACCAGGGACTTAGCTCAGCAACACAATGAATACCTGGCAAGCACAAGGTTCTGAGTTGATGCCCAGTACCAAATAAACAAACAACATCCTTTTAAAAAAAAGAAGAAGAAGAAATGAGAAGCCTGGTGTGGTGGTACCTATAATCCCAGCACCTGGGAGGCTGAAGCAAGAGGATTGTTGAGAGTTCCAGACCAGCCTGAGCTACAGAGTGACAAAGCCAGCCTGAAATGCATAGCAAGACCCTGTCTCAAACAAAAATAGAAAAAGTAAATTGTTATGCATTATTTTATCATTTTAAAAAATCACTAGCCCTGTGCATCTGCTTATAATACTATCATGAACCAAAACAATGAGCAAAACTGCTTAAGAGCTGGGCGTGGTGGTACACTCCTGTAATCCTAGCACTGGAGGTTGAGGCAGGAGGATTGTTGCAAATTCAAGATCAGCCTGGGCTACAAAGTGAGCCCAAGGCCATCCTAAATTGCAAAGTGAGATTCTGTCTCAAAAAGAAAAAAAGACTGTTTCAAAATAAAAAAGCAAATTAAATTTTTAAAAAGGGCTGAGGATGTAGATCAGTTGGAGGGCCCTGAGATCAGTTCGCTTGTGGGAGTTAGGGTACAGGTTGGGGATGCAACTCAGTGGCAGATCTAGGGCTGCTTAATCTGTGCCAGGCATCAGGCTCCATCCCCAGTACTGGCGTACAGAGGTCACACCACGCTCTTAACATCAGCTTAAACCAGGATGACCTCCCTACTCCACACCAGCTGTGTGACCTTGAGCAAGAAAACCCTGTCCACCCTTCACATGCCTGCATGTGCACCTGCA